TCCCTGTTTTTAGAAGTTGGGATTTAGGTCCATGTGTTTTTCCAACCATTGAAGCTTTTTATTTTGTTGATGTTTTTAGAAGTTGGGATAAGGGGTTTGTTTCAGCCATTGAAGCATTTTTTTGTTGTTGTTTTTAGATGTTGGGATAAAGGGGTATGTGTTTTTCCAACAATTTGAGCATTTTTTTTGTTATTTTTACAAGTTGAGATTTAGGCCTATGCGTTTTTCCAGCTATTGAAGCATTTTTTTTTTATAATTTGGGATTAGGTGTATGTTTCAGCTATTGAAGCTTTTTTTTTGTTGCTGTTTTTAGATGTTGGGAAATAGAGGTATGTGTTTTTTTCAACAATTGAAGCATTTTTGTTGTTCTTGGAAGTTGGGATTTAGGAGTATTTTTTTTCCTCAACAATTGAATAATATTTTTGTTCTTTGTAGAAGTTGGGATATAGAAGGTGTGTTTTTTCAAAAATTGAAGCTTTTTATGTTGTTTTTAGAAGTTGGATTTAGGATGTTTCTTTTTCCTACATTTTTTTTCAAAAATATTTTGTTTTTCTTACCAATCTTCATAAAATAACTAGAACTAACCACATGTAGTTTCTACAAACTATTTTTTTTTCAAAACATTTGTAATCGAGAGGATTTATGAGCATATCTTTAATGTTTATTGAATTATAAGTAATTTTTGGACTCTTTGAAGCATTTGTTTTTGTTGTTTTTACAAGTTGGGACTTAGGGGTGTTTCTTTTTCCAACATTTGTTGTTCAAAAAAAATTATTTTGTATCATAAATTAGGTCACAAACATTTGTAAAATAACTAGAAATTAACAAAATATAACTTCTACAAACGATTTTCCCGTAAGGTTTGTAATTGAAAAAATTTGCGAGTGTTTTAGGAATGGAAGAAGATTTTTTCGATGAAAAAAGCTCCTGAGCACTTCTTCAATTTCAAAATTTCATTTTTTTAAAAAAAATATGATTTTCGTAAAACAAAGTCACCTTTTCTCCAAAAATATATGCAAAAATTGTATAGTCTAGGGCTTTTTATCTACTATCGATATCTATTTTTGAGCATACTTTTACTTCATCGAATTAAGTCTAGTTGTTGGCTTTGTCCAGCATATGTTTTTCAAACCTTTTTTGGGGATTCTCTTGCTGCAAAATGTTGTTTTTAGAAGTTGGAATTGGAGGTGATCTGTTTTTCCAATATATTTTTTTCAAATAGATTATGTTTTATTCTCACAGGATCTCTCAATTCTTCATAAAATAACTAGAACTATGCAAATATTTTTCACCTTCTACAAATGGAAGGATGAGTTTTTAGACAAAAGCAGCTACAACACTTGTAATTTCAATGTTTGGTTTCAAAAGTATGAAGAAAACACTATTTTCCTAGAGCAAGTGCACCTTTTTGAAAAAATATCTGCCCAATTTGTGTTCTCTAGGTGTTTTCTTATTCTGCTCTTGCAAAGGTTATTTTCTTTGTGATTGTGATGTGTATTAATTTTGGATTTTTGTTCTCTCTATGGAACAAAGAAATCTTCATTGAAGGTCTTGCGAAAGAGACAACTTTAGGTTAGTTTTTAAACTTTGCTATATGTTTGTATATTTTTAATTTGTCATTATAGATGAGTTGAGGTTTGTGTTTTTTAATTTTATTATTCCTTGCTGGTTGGATATTCTAAAGATTCTAACTGTTCTTCTAATTTGGGTTTGTAGAGCAACTTGTGAAGTACTTTGAGAAGTATGGTGAGATAATAGACTCGGTGATTATGAAGGACTAACATACTAATAGACCTAGAGGTTTTGGGTTCATCACTTATGTTGATCCCTTTGTCGTTGACATTGTTATTGTTGAAACTCATAACATCAATGAAAAACAAGTGAGTGGTTTACCTTCACTTTCAATGTATATATTAATTCTATATTTGATTATTGTCAAATAGGGTTAGAGAAAAGAACTACTAGAAATTTTATGTATGTTTGTCATGAGAAAATTCCTTTTTATGGTCGTTTCTAACGAACCATCAATTTATGTTAACTCATAAAATTCTTTTGAGATAATGAGTTTGGTTAGTATCGTATATTTGTAATGTAGTTCATAGTATTCCTAGTATTGTGAGATTTCTAGCAGAAATCATATTGTGGATAATGTATATTTGTAACTAAATGTCATAGTATACTTGGTGTTGTGAGGTTCTATTGAAACCATATTTTCTAAGTCCAAGCAATTTTTTTAGTAGAAAATTGTTGTAAGGTGGCATGCATTTTGACTTTGAGACTTATAGGGGAAGATGTTGAGCTAATGGTGCAAGCTTTCTTTTGTGGACAACAACTACCCAGGTTCATCACACATACAAACCTGGTCTTGCTCCCAAAGAAAGAGCAGGTATGCAACTTTACAGACCTTAGGCCACTCATTTTAAGTACCTTCGCGAATAAAATCATTTCAAGGGTGTTACATGAGAGGATTACCAGATGGCTACCTCTAATAATATCCAGAAATCAGTTAGGTTTTATGAAAGGGAGAAGTATTACAGAAAATATTTTTCTGGCGCAAGAGATAATAAGAAATATTAATCGGAGAAAGAAGAATCATAATGTAGTGGTGAAACTGGATATGGCAAAAGCTTATGATAGGGTTTCATGGATTTACTTATTAAAGGTCATGAGAAGATTTGGATTTTTTGAAACCATTATTGATATGGTATGGAGGCTTATTTCCAATAACTGGTACTCAGTACTAGTGAATGGAAAATCATTTGGTTTCTTTCAATCATCTAGAGGGGTAAAGCAAGGGGATCCTCTTTCACCAAACTTATTCATCATTGTTGTTGAAGTATTATCGAGGGGTTTAAACAAGATGAATGAGGAGGGCAGAGTTTAAAGGATATGGTCTTCCCAAATGGAGTCCGTAAATTAATCATTTGTCGTATGCTAATGATACTATTCTTTTCTGTTCCGGAGATAAAAAAATCAATCAGCAAAATAATGGGGGTACTAAGGGAGTACGAAGAAGCTTCAGGATAGATGATTAATTTGAACAAGAGCTTCTTTTACCTTCATGATAATACACCACTGATAGTGAGTATTAGAATGAGGAAACTTACATGAATCAAACAGGGATTTTTTCCTTTTACTTATCTTGGGTGTCCAATGTTCTATGGGAGTAAGAAGGCAGTATATTTTGAGTAACTGGTGAGAAAAGCACATAAGAGAATTATGTTGTGGCAAAACAAATGGTTATCATACGGGGGAAGATACATTTTGATTGCGAATGTATTACAATCAATGCCAATATATTTATTTTCTACGATGAATCCCTCAAAAAAGATTATTGAACAACTTCATTAAGTGTTTGCAAAAAACATATGGAGTAAACCAGGTGGAGAGAAAAGAAAGCATTGGGTCGCGTGGAAGGAGCTATGCTATCCAATACTTGAAGGAGGACTAGGGTTCAGATCACTACATGACACTTCAAGAGCTTTGTTTGGAAACTCTGGTGGAATTTCAGAACTTCCACATCACTGTGGAGTTCCTTCATGTGGAACAAGTATTGTAAAAAAGTACACCCAGTACTTTCTGTAGGAGCTGGAGCATCTCACACATGGAGGAAAATGTTAGAAGTTAGGGAGGAAATTGAACAAGATATCTGGTGGCAACTTAAATCAGGAGAATGCAGTTTTTGGTTTGATAATTGGACCAAACAAAGAGCATTGTATTATGTTGAAGAACAAGCAAGAGGGGAAGAAGAATTTGAGGTCAAGCAGTTTATCAAAGAGGGGAATTGGGACAGGCAAAAACTAAGAGAGTTTCTATCAGAAGATATGACAAGTACATTGTTAGAGACATAAGACCGAAAGTGGTGGAAGGGGAAATCGACAAACCTTGGTGGATGGGAAATTCTAATGGAATTTTCACAGTAAGATTTGCACATGATATATTAAGGTAAAGAAATGAGGAGATGACTTGGAGGAACAACATTTGGAGTAGGGGTATCCCTTTTAAGATTAATTTTCTGCTTTGGAGATGCTGGAAAAGCCGAATAGCAACATAGGATAATCTTAAAAAAATGAAAATTAATATTGCTTCCAGATGTTATTGTTGTGAAGTATACAAACAGGAAATAATGTCCCACCTTTTTCTAACAGCTCCTGTAGCTCAAAAGCTATATAAGTAGTTTGCTATTTGTGCAGGTATTCAAATTCATTAAGGTCTACAACAAACAATTACAGTTTGGTGGGGAGTGAAAAACAAAAACAAACTGAGGCAAGTACTCCAAGTCATTCTGGCTGTGTTAATGTGGGAACTTTGGAAAAGACAAAATATCAGGAGACATGGAATGGAAATGGATTACTACAAGCTTCATAAACAGTGTGTAAACACTATATATCAGTTCGTTAAAACAAGACATCCTTGGATTAATATACCCAGAGACTGGAAAGGAATTTTGAGAGTTAACATAATTACAAGCCTAAGATTTAACATTTTGTGGTAATTGGGGAGATTCTAGAAAGAGGAAAAGTGAAATGCAATACAGATGGGGCATGCCGAGGAAATCCAGGAGACAGCTCCTATGATTTTTGTCTGAGAAATGATGTTGGGAACCTGATATACGCAGAAGCTAAGAGGATAGGGCATGGAGCAAATATACAGGCAGAAGCTCTTGCAATTCTTAATGCACTAAGATACTGCAAGAATAATAACATAGTAAAAGCATTGATATAGTCAGACTCACTTACTCTCACAAAGATGATAAGAAAGGAGTGGAGGGTACCATGGCAACAAGCGGAGATAATAGAAGAAGTACAAGGACTATTACTAATCACTCAATTCAACATTAAGCGTGTTTTCAAGAAGGCAAATAAATTAGCTGATAAAATAGCAAATGAAGCATTCAATCATGAAAATGTAATGCAGATTCAAAACTACAACTATCTATCTGCAGAATGCAAGATCATTTTGAAGGAAGAAAAAGCCCAGGTACCAAATTTGAGAATAAAGCCAAGAAGGATCAGGATTAATGGCTATTAACACACACAAGCATGTACAGGAATATCGACACCAGAAATTCTCACAGACAAGAGATTTACATTGATTGTTGTTACCACTTCAGGGTAATCATAAATGTGAGAAAAAAATCTACATAACCTAGGCTCAGTCAGTGCACATAAAATGACAGCAGCAAAAATTAAAGTCAAATGGAGAACTTATGAACAGGGGCGGGGAAGTCGAGTGACATATTCATAGCCACGCAACTGCGTCAAAGAGGGATACAAAGAGACAGAATCAAGAATAAGAAGGATAAAGATAAAAAAAAAAGAGGGGAAAGGATCTTACTGGATACAACTATCCCAGGTCACACAAGACATGGCACCTCTATCGATTCCTCTTAGGAATCCATTACATCCACCGGGATACAACTCTACAGAAAAGGAATGAAAGAGTAAGGAGAAATTAAGCTCTCGATCTGAGTATAGACAAGGCAAGCAATACATAAGTGAGCTGAGATGGAAAAGGCACATCGACACCATCATAATAGGTGTTGCTGATCCACAACAAGAAGAAACAGAAGCTCAGTTTAACAACAGCTCCAAGCGATGACATAGAGGGAGATGGTCGGGAGCTCAGATAAGGAAACCCTATGATTTAAGAAAGTATATGGATGAAGGACGATGGGTCATTTGTGGATTTATTAATTTTGTTTTGTTTCATTCTATTTTCCGCTTTTGGGCCTGTTGGACCCGTTTGTACAGATTTTTAAAAGGTAAAAAACTTAACTATACAATATAAGCACCCAAATTACTGCTATATAACAATAGTTTAATTTTTCATCAACATAGCAATAAAAACTTTACAAAACAAAACAAAATTAACAAAAATTAAAAAACGAAAAAATACCAAAATAAACACACGTTTTTTGTCCTAGAAAATCTCTTTTTTTTAAGCTTCTTCCTAAAATATCTCCCCTAAATATTTTTTACTTCCTGATTTTTCTCCTTTTTTTAATCTTCTTCCTAAAATATTGAATTTGCAATTCTCTTTTTCTTCTCCACCCTTTTTTTCTTGAAATTTTCTCTCTCTTTTTTTAAATTTCTTTCTCTTCACTCGTCTCTTTTTCCTTTCTTTTTTCTTTTTTACCATTTTTTACTCCATTTTATTTTCTAAAAATTTTCTTTGTTCTTTTTTATTTGTCTCCCTTCATTTTTTTGGTTTAAATAATTTTTTACATCATTGTAGGTTAGAACATATAACCAAAAACTAACTTTATCATTATTGTATGAATTTATTTTTTTAATTTATTTGGTTATAATTTATTTACTATGGTAAAATTGAATTAGATTAATTTGAACTTCACACGAAATTTAAATCATATTGTATACCATGTAAATTAATTTGATGATACTAAAAAATTGGTACATACGTGATTAGATTATGGTGTTACGTATTATAGGGTTGTAACATATAACTAAAATCAACTTTACCATCAATTATAAATCAATATTTTTTATAGATCTATATCAACATATCACCAAAATATTAGCTATACCATACATCAAAATATATACACTATAACATATTGCAACTTTAAATTAACAAATCACCATTATTTTTAAACCAACAAATTCACCAATTATTTTTAATTGTTATAATTATTAAAATTTGAACTTGACACAAAGGTTACAACACATTGTATACCATATAAATTAACTTGATGATACTAAAAAGTTGGTATACACTTGATTAGATTATGATGTTATGCATTGTAAGGTTGAAACATGTAACTAAAATCAATCTTACCATCAATTATAAATCAATTTCTTTTATAGTTCTAAATCAACATATCACCAAAAAAATTAGTCACACCATCCATAATATTTAAATCAACAAATTACCAATATTTTAACTATATCATCCATCAAAATATATACACTAAACATATCACGGTTAAAAACCATCAAATCACCAATTATTGTACCAGATCAACCACCAAAGTATATTTCTTAATACATATCACTATTTAAAAAAACATATCATCAACAATTGTACCAAATCGACCACCAAAATATATACACTAAAATATTTTGTATTGAAAAATTAATCTGATAATTTATATGGACTACATGATACAAATCTAAATCACATATTTGTAGGTTTATTTTATAAATAAATATTTGCGATTATATGCTATCACAAACTAAATTAATCAACAACTACAACTCATAGGAGAAAGATCCAAGTTCTTCCCACTAGATGGTTTTTTAAAAACCCTACTTCCAAAAAACAAGAACCCTAAGGAGTGTCCAACAATACCAACCAAGAAAACACCACCATTAAAAGACATAACAACCAACATAGCAACATAAGCCAAACCAATTCTCAAACCATACAAGATTGTCTGAAGAAGTCCAGAAGTCACATGATCAACATTACTCTTGTAAACATAATTGCTATGAGAGAGAAATTCGACGAAAACCGTCATGAAAAAGATAACAACAAGTGCCAAATATACATGTCCAAATTATCGTATCCATTCCAACTTGAGAAGAGAATCTCAGTAACAATGTTTGAGTTTACACCATCTTCTTTCTCTTTACCCTTTCTTTTTTTTCGATTTATTGACCTCAATTAATTTCACTACCAGATGGATTACCAGTCACTTTTGGGAGAAGGGGCGAAAGCATTCAACTCAAATTTTGGTGTTGAAGAAATAAATACTTCATCAAACGAGGACTCTTTTGGAGAGTACTATCAATAGCAATTATGTTATTCATAATCGATTTTTTTAAGAAGCAAGAATGATTTTTGATATTGTAAGAGATGATTTTGAAAAGAAACAAGGAGAATTAAAGTAATTTGTTAATGTATATTATCAAGAAGGAGGTACAATCCTTTCCTTGATAAAATGGCATTGAAAAGGAGGAAAAAAAGAAAGCAGCAAAGCGCTAATATCGATGAAAAGAAGAGTGCAGCGTGTAAAGGTTAAGAAGAGAGAAAGTCAGATATTTATTAAAGGAACGTATCCAAATATAATTGTGATTAAGATTCTAAAAAGTAAATAAAATAAAAGGTAAAAAATATGAGTCCCATAAAATCAGGTCGCTAACCAATAAATTAAGTATTAAATCGTCTATTTATTTATTTTAAAATAAATTGTCATATTTGTAAGTTAAATGTTATTGTTGTAAATAAAAAACCTAAAATAATATTGTGTAAATTAAGGTCTTAAATAGTATATTCTTGTAATTTTTCCTTTTTAAATCATCAATATAAGGGAGACTCGAGCTCCAGAAAATTATTTTTATTACAAATGTAATTTTTTCTATTCAACAAAGTGATTATTTGTGCACCAAAGTGGAGTGGTTAAGTTATCTTTATTGCACTCTCAAATCTCAAATTGTATTTGTTTTTGCCTAGCTAAACTTAGAAAATATGTCTATATATACACTAGAAGAGCATGATGATGGTTTTGAATAGATGCGAATTCAAGATTTTAAATCCGTGCGTGTGACATATGGCTATAAGTACTACTCCCTCTGTCCCAATTTGTGTGACTTACTTTCCTTTTTAGTCAGTCCCAAAAAGAATGACACATTTCTACACTAAGTAACAATTTCACTATAAAATGTCTATTTTACCCTTAATGAAATGATTTACAGCCACACAAATTTCTATTATTCATTTTGGACCACAAGTTTTAAAAGTACTTCCTTTCTTTCTTAAACTCCGTGTCGAGTCAAACTTCCTCACATAAAATGAAACGGAGGGAGTACTATTTTTGTGACATGTATGCGTACTTTAAAACCTAATACTTATATATGGTCGAATAAGCTTTCAAAAGTGTGTACACCTTATGTTTGCGCGCTCATTGTCACACAACAAATTAGATGCATGCATCAAGATGTTTTGCCAACAAGCAATTATCACTCGAGAAAGGGGATTTAATGTGATGCAATAAAAGACGTTGTAGACTATGTAGTCGAGTCGAAATCAATGCATTGATATATTTGCATCTGTGGGAAAAATTAGCAAATATCCACTTCTTGATTCATATAATTGAAAAATAGTCGATGACATAGTGTCAAATTCCATATATAAGTGCAACTCCAGGATTTTATCATGTAGTTTCACGTGTAAAATTTGAAACTTAATAACATTAATTCGCTATTATTCTTTTAAAAAACATGACCAAAAAGTGACCAATGAACACTCTTTTTACTACATCAATTTGCTTGTGATTATTGGGTAGTGGGCAAGAAGGGATGTACCAACAACTAACCACATTTCAATTCATATAACCAAAAAACATAGTCGTTATCATGAAATTTCAAAGTTTCACTCATACATGGAATCTGAAACTCTATGACATTAACTATTTTTAAAAAAAAAAGAAGTAATCAATAAACGTTATTTCTGCGGTATCCGCTCCGGAGTTGTTGGGTAATGAGCAGACAGGCAAGAAGGGATGGGCCAACAACTTGATCAGTACTACCTTGGTCCATAAATGATTATGAAGAAATAAAATTAGCATTCAAGTGAGAAGAATAGAAATAATGAGCTAGCTATTAATTATTACTGCTCATTCTTTTTTTGAAAAGTCTTATTATTAGTACTATTAATAGTAATTGCTTGGTGGTTGTATAATAATAATTTTATTACCTTCGTTTCATATTACTTGAACTCGAAATAAAAAATAAATGTTTTTGCTTCCGACTTGAATTGATTACAACCTCAAAGTTAGAGCTGAAAGAAGCTCACCATCCGAGTAATCATATCTTGACATAAAAAAAAATACTACTTCTGTCTCATTCTATGTGAGGTAGTTTGACTCGGCACAGAGTTTAAGAAAGAAAGAAAGACTTTTAAAACTTGCGGTCCAAAATGAATAATAGAAATTTATGTGATTGTAAATCATTTCATTAAGGATAAAATAAACATTTTATAGTTAAATTGTTACTTAATTCAGAAATGTGTCATTCTTTTTGGGACTGACTAAAAAGGAAAGTAAGTCACATAAATTGAGGCAGAGAGAGTAAATGTTTTATTTTATCTAAAAGAGTTTTATTGTATTTTTAATTTTCTATCCTAATTAGTATTAAATAACTACGTCATATAGAATAGTCAAATTTAGAGCTTCAAAGCATGATTAATAAAGTTAATTTAGTAAAATAGATCTCTAACAAATAATGGTATGAATGAACCTTTTTTTCAAACAAAAATGACATAGATGAGCAAAAATTTTAACGAATGGTATAGATAAATCTTTTCTCAAAGTTCAATAACATATTTAAACCTTTTCTCGTCCATTAACAAAGCAAGCTATGATATAAAACTCCTAATAATTCTTGCAAGAAATTAAATACAACATCATCAAACTTAATTTTTCTACAAATAAGGTTGTATGATTTTGTACAAAATTAACGAATGAAACTCAAATGTAAAACCCTTCAAACAAGAAAATATATAAAACCATAGGACCTTCTTTTAATAAAATAAAAAGTTAGGTAATTTCTTCTTATCTGCAAAAACTTTGATGGACAGAGTTATGTTATTTGAACTTGTCATGATAACCATGTAACAATAGTTATTTGAAACCTGTGTTAGCAGGAGGTAGCAGATACTCATACGTTGAAACAGACAAGGTGCGCGTAAACTGATCCGAACAATAATATTTTATCTCTTCTTGTTGTGCAAAGGGTTTGA